ATAATATCAATATTAAATGAAACATTACCAAAAAACTTAAGGTCAATAACTTTTACTTGTAAAATTTATAACATTAGCAACTATTCTTTAGATATTCTAATGAATAATTGGAGAGGACCCAAACCTTTAGTAATAGGATTTGATAAGTATGATAAGCGTGAAATTTTGCTAGAAAATGACGGAAGACAAATATTAGAAAAGTATAAAAATTTAGGATTTTTAATAATTAGTAATAAAATCATTCAATAAATGTTATCAATGCTCTGGAAGATTGAAATAATAAATATAATGTTATAATAAAGTATGACAATAAATCATGTAGTTATCTGTAAAAATTATGTCATTTTGCAAAAAAATATCTGCAAAATTATAAATATTCCAATTCACAGAAAAGATATCTGGATTAGCAGTTCATAACTCATATATATTGTTTAAATGTATAGCTTGCTTAATATTAATAAACATGATTAATTCAATTTTTCTTAATGTCAGTCATTTGATTTTTAATACAAACTTCATTGTTTTAATAATAAGTATTGTGAGATCAAATCCACATCTCACAGTGGATCTCAATATTTTATTTATTTAAATGCCAACAATGTTAATACAATTTCTTCCGATTTAACCAGCTACAAAAAAAAAGATGCAAAGAAAACTCACAATCAACTATAATGTGGGAAAGCTAGAGATTATTATAATTTAATAGGCGAAAATGATGAATTTATTAAATGTAAAAGTTTGTTCCGATAATCAAAAGAGAAAATGTTTAAACATAATAACTCTATATGTAACCTTTCACAAAATAATTCTCAAGTTAAATTTTTATTATGAATTTAAATAAAAAAAATGCATTGAAATTTTAAATTTAAATTTGTATAATTGGTTTGAATCAAATTATTGGTTCAAATTGTTTAAATTGTTAATGATTCAAATTGTTCAAATTGCTGATGGTTTGAATGGTTTGAATTGTTCAAATCATTCATGGTTTGTTTGAATTGTTCAAAATCATTGATGGTTTGAATTGAATTCAAAATTAAATAATTTAAATATTTTTTTTTCATTTACATTGTGCAACAAACAAATCGTTTTTAAAAAAATGAATTTGTTACTATTACCTGAACTTTTAATTGAAATTTTCAAATATATTGAAGATGATTACAAAATATTATATTCTTGTACTCTTGTCAATAAACAATGGCACAATATCAATATTCCAACTTTATGGAGAAATCCATGTTATTCTCTTAAAAGCATCAAAATATTAATTAATTGCATATTGGAAGAAGATAAGGATTTCTTAACTAGAAATTGCATTGAATTAACTTTTGAATTATTGGAGAAACCGCCATTATACAATTATGCCAGATTTTCTACTATACTTCATTATTATGATTTTTCATGGTTGATAAAAACCTCTGAATCAAATTCTTTACAAATTTTACAAAATAAATCAGTAAATTTTATTTTAGATCATTCAGAAGGTATTAGAAAGCTTAGGACTAATTCTATAGATTGTAATTTATTAATTAATCACCATAGATTTGATGATTGTTTCCAGAATCTTTATGAAATAGATAATGATTATCATTTTTATTGTGGTAAACTTTTTGATAAATTAGCAAACATTTGTAAAAATATTCAATCATTAACAGTAAATTGTTATGGCAATGGCAGTGACAAAAATATATATAATTTATCACAGCTAATTAAAGCACAAAAGCAAATTAAATATTTAGTTATTAAATCAATGGGACAAATTCCATTAGATGAATTAAAAATTTTAAATGATGCAATATTAAAACATTCAGAATCAATAATTTTTTGCAAATATTATAGTTCTGGTAATTATTCTAATGATTTATTATTATCAAGTTTTAAAAATTTGAAAACTTTAGAATTATCAACTTATGTTACTGGAAAAATAAGTTTGAGAAATATTTCACTACCAAATATTGAATCAATGAAGTTATTTATTGATTTTCGTTCACTTCTATTGGGCTTATCTGATTTTTTTAATATCAATGGAAAAAATCTTAAAAATCTGGATGTTGGTGGTTATGATGATGAACTTTTGAGAAAGCTATTTCAATTAATTGCACAATCTTGCAAAAATTTAGAAAATTTATCTATACCATATAATGATAAATTAGACCAGAAATTAATGAAAGTACTCAAAAATTGTATTAAATTAAAAAGTATTAGATTTGATAATCATAATGTTTCTGAAATAGATTGCAAAAAAGTATTATCAGCATTAAATGAAACATTACCAAAAAACTTAAAGTCAATAGCTTTAAATAGTAGACTTTATAATGTTAGTGATTATTTTTTTGATATTCTAATGAAGAATTGGAGAGGTCCCAAACCTTTAATAATAGGATTTGATAAGGATAATAATAATATTTTAGTACGAAGCAATGGAAAAAAAATATTAGAAAAATATAAAGACTTAGGGTTTTTAATAATTAATAGTGAATTCATTTGATAAATGTTATCAATACTCTGGAAGAATGAAATTTTATGTAGTTATATTATTATTATTTATTATTTGTCATACTATATTATAACATAATAAATTTAATTTTCATGCGTAATTTACTGTTGGGTGGGGTGAAATTCTGATTGGCTAATTTGAATTTCACATAATTTCATTTTCACGTACAACAATGACAAACATCAATTGGATGATAAAGAACAGTTGGCCAACATTAGCATTAATTTAATGTCCGTCAAACGTATTTTCTTATTATTATAAAAATACATGATTATTTTTGATTCTGAATGTAACATTTCAAATAAATAAATAAATACCTCAATGTAACATAATTCTTCTAATTAAATATATAGTATGTTAATGATCAACAAAATTGACTAAAATTAACACGAGTGTTCGCGAGAACCTATATGGGGGCTTTTCAATAGAAACGGACCATGTTGTGAAAGTAATGTTTTGAGGAAATTAAAAAAAAATTTCGTATTTTAAGATGTTTACTATCGTTTTTGAAACTTTAAAGAAAAGTATCTCGATATTTTACTATGCAAAGCCAAAATCGTTCTACGTGAGGAGTTACATATAGCTATGGCATTAATTCAAAATTGTTTTTTTCACAAAATGGACTGTTTCTATTGAAAAGCCCCCCTATACTGTAAGTTAGATATAAAATTTATGTATTTTAGTACAGTCAAACCTTGTCATAAAGGATTTCGATCTAGTACAAATTTAGAAAGTATCTGCAGAAATATTGTATTTGATTGGATATTTCTGCAGATACTTTCTAAATTTGTACTAGATCGAAATCCTTTATGACAAGGTTTGACTGTATACTAAAAAATGTATTTCAATTTTTAATTGAAGTTTATATAGATTCTAGAAACATAAGCTACAAATAGTATGGGTCGTCAAGGTTAGTTTCAACTTATGGCGGAACCTTTTGACCTTCGCACAGTTACGAAATTTTCTAGTTTTGGAAACCAACACTAGTTACAAACTGGTATAAATTTTATTTATTTTTGTTATATATACAAAATTTGTGTGATTTGTAATTATCAAAAAAGTGCGTCTGGATACTTTATAACCTTTTACATGATAAATAATATCATTATTGCTTGTAGGAGGGCTTCAGAAGCCCATTCCAATATGACATAGATATCACCATTTATTTGGAACATGACATAAAATCTCGCACTGAGAAAAAATGAAGCCTTTTTAACTTCAAGATCTTGAAAAATTAATTATCCCTTTTTTCCATTTTATTATGTTGAGCTCGAGCAACCTTTATTGTCTGCATGACTTTTCATGGTAATCTTTGTTATTTAGCCTAGAGTTCTCGCCTCTTCCTAATTCAAATTTCCATTTTCGAAACAATTGGTGTCGCCATCAACAAAGTTGCTCATTTTTATGTTCTGATTTTATCATCGTTAGTTATGACGACGTTCTCACAATTGATTATAAATGTACTAAATATTTCATGATGCAAAGTAATTGATACATCAAAACTATTTGCCGGTAGGAACTTACCATTGGTTTTACACTAGTGACAATGTCTTTGAATAATTTGCGCACTTTGCAAACTCAGACAGTGAAGATTTTATCAGTATAGTTTGTTTCTTGATGGCTATTATACTAAAGATAAAAGTTCACATGAAAATTAAAACATATAATAATCAAAGTAAACTAAATAAATCATATCCAAAATATATAGTCGCTCAACAGAAAGTCTCGGATCTAGTCGATTTTCATATTTGATGAAAAACCCGGTTGGCTGTTCTTTTCTGAATACTAATACGTGATCATACTATAAGTACTGCTCCAAATATGAATAAATTAAATGAATATCCAAAATACACTTTCTCACAGCTTTTTCATTCTATTGGTTAGTTGTTTATTGAAATATCATTGTCCACTTTGAATTAAGTGAGACTTCATGACATAGCGACTTAAATCTTATTGGTTGAAAAATTTTAATCATCTGACTTTGGCATTTGTGTCCAATAATGCATACACACATCGCAAAGCTTAGATCCTGTTTAAAAACTACTAATGTAATTAGAAAATGGAAAGGCGATTTGGAAGTTAGATGAGAAATATATGTTTTCAAGCATTCGAATAAATTAAATCTGTCTACCAACCGTCTGATCAAAATGAGAAATAATCTCATACTAATAATAATAAGGTATTTTTTCTATATAAATGAATATGGGTTTATACAACTATGAATTATTCCGTAGTAATTTAATAAAACTCGTCGACAAAAAGATGTAAAGTCTTCAAGAATTAAAACTTGCAGTATAAAAAGTGATCTAAAAAGAAAAAAAAAGTTATAATGGTTCGATTTTTGTTTGATTTACGAAAAATCTCCGCTTATCATAATAATAAAAATTAAAAAATGAAATGTTAATGACATAATCAATGTATTAATTTAATAAAATGACTAAAAAAAAAACTTTTTAAACTATTTTTTTCAAATTTTAGAAATAGTTTTATTTTATTTTTTAACAAAATGACATCCAACGAAAAAACACATTTACATATCTTTTTATCACCAATACAAGAAGTGCAAGAGCCACAACCATTACAAGAAACATCATCATTGCAACAACATGAACAAGAAGCATTACCACTATCATCATCGATTATTTCCAATATATCACCATCTTCTAATATTGAACAACGAGCAGTATCAACCACCTCTACCGCAGAGTTCACTTTTAGACCCCATTTTTTTCCTTCTTCATCGAATGTACAAGATACCAATTCTTCTTCTTTAGATTCTTCGACAGCAACAAAAATAGCCAAAACAGCTGTTGCAATTAAAAGTACTAACTTACTATTAGATAGTAATAACAATAGTAATAGCATGACATCGTTAAATAAACAACAACAGCAGCAACAGCAGAAATTAGTTCAATTTTTTCTAAGGTCAACGACATCAACAATTACAGCACCGGAACCATCATCTTCATTAAATGTATTTTCACAACCACTTTTTAGAAATAAATCAACTCGAGTTTCTTTTAAAGAATTTCAAAAAAACGCGTCATCAAATTCATTACTATCTACCGATGCTAATACCAATATCAATGCTATTAGTGCTGATGACAATATTGTCAATAATAAAGCCAATTATTTTTCTTCTGTTAATAATAATAAGAAAATATTCTTTCCAACTAACAATAATAATATCGCTAGTAAAAATAGTGCCGGTGATAGTATTGAAGTTAGTAATGCTAGTGACAATATCAATAATAAAGAGGCGATATTATTAGAAAAGAATAATGACAATAAGATCAGCAATGACAGTAATAATGAATCGAATGTCACAAACATTAATAATAATGATGAATTTCTTATTGGCAGTAGTAATAGAATTAATAGTAATAAAGAATCAAAACTTCATTGTTATGATGGTGATGACGTTGCAATTGAAAATAGTCAAGAAAAAAATTATATTTCTGAGAAGAATGATTCTAAATCTTGTACTCCTACAATTGAAAAAAACAATGTTCCATCAACATTATTATCATCACAGCAGAATC